GAGCCGGCTGGCATTGGCTCTGTCGGACATGGGGGAAGCTTCTAGCAGCTTCTCACAGAAGCCACCCCTGTAGCCCCCCTGCTACCAAAACCTTGCCACACAAACCCAATACAATTTTTATAGAAATGGTTTTAGAGCCTTTTAAAAACAATGTGGGCCTGGAAAAATATTGGTGTCCTCCAAGAAGCTTGTATTGAAAGAATTGCTGGGGCTTTCACAGGGCTGAGCCCTTTCCTACAGAGCAGCATCTATCCCATCCACAGTCTCCCTGGTAAAGAAGTGTAAGACTTACAGAAATGGATTATTTCCTCGAAGAAAAGCTCCCATGTTTCGAAGTGTGGTTCCAAACCACAGGATGATATTAGTAATAATTTCATTGCCTGAAATTTTTTTTACTATTACCTGAAGAGATTTTACTTTTCTATTGTTTTACTTTTTGCCTGGAAGCTGCTTATTTTTTTTATTTTTATTAAATAAGATGTTGGGCCCTGTCCTAAAGGATGTAGAGTCGAAACATAATAGAATAAATAAATGGTTATTTATTTATAAACAGTGGGAACTCCTCATGGTAACAGGAAGAAAATTAAAATCAGAGATGATAAACAGTGGTTGCGGCACAGTGTCTGGGCATGTCTTTTGTATAGCACTCAGCTTCAAGAGAAAACAGATCGCTTAGACTGAAAACCCATAATAATAACTAAAAAAATCCATCTGTTATAAATAGCGGTGATGTTTCTTTCAGTGCCTGTGTACAGCAGCGAGGGAGTAACTACCGGGAGAGGCAGTGATCCAGTACTGACAGCCTTATTTTGGGTAGTAGTCTGCTCTCCAAAGGGAGAGAGGAATAAAGAAAGCCGGGGGAGGACTGTAACTCTGGTCTGGTGGTAGAGAGGGAGGTCCACTGTGCCAAGTAGCCTGAGCAAACACCCCTGAAGCAGAGGACTCAGGAGGCTGCAGAGAGATCTCTGCTAGTGCTGCAGCCTCTACGCAACTCCTCTTCCATAGTTTTTTTCTCTTTTTTTGTTTTGCCTGGGGGCAGGAGGAGGCGGAGGTTGGTTTTCCTCCAGGTCTTCCTTCCTCTCCTGCTTCTGGGATTCCCTGGGGTGCCTTGCTGGCAGAAGCAAAGAGGAGAGAAGGCTGCTTCTCCCCAGTTTGCCTGGAGCTTGTGACCGCCTGCTAGAAGCCCCAGCGATGTCTTCTGTGTGCCCCAAACCTGCCTGTCCCCTGGGTTTGCCATGGACTAGTACTGTCCTATCAGTAAAAAGCTACATTATGGCTTTCTCTGGCATTATTGGCATGCAAGTGAGGACCTTGTAATGAAAACAGATTTGCTCCCCAAAAGCAAAGGGCTTTTTTGGCTTATAACTTTGTCTGGTGGAAGGATTTGCACAAGCTGTTGCAACCTCTTTTTCTGGTGCAGAAAGTTTTTTGTTTTGTTTTTTTTAAGTGAAGCACCCATCCTGGAGGTGAAATCTGCCACTTTGATAAGGAATTACTTTAAAAATGACATTCTGTGGCTACTAATATTGTTAACTGCTTCATCCTTGAAAAATGGGCAAAATGAACCCCTTGACTGTGGCTTGAGTTTCTCCAAGGCCAAGCAAAGTTATTCTTGCTACCTCACTGATCCGTGGCTGATGGTTTTGTAGAGTGCATTGGCTGGTTCTTTTACGGAGCTCTCCCAAAATCTCTCTCTTCACAACAGGCTTCTTGCTGAGACCTTATGCATCCTTACAACCTAGGACAGCTAGAGCAAAGCAGTGCTCAGATCTCATCTTCCTAAGAGGGCACTGGGAGGGGTTAATCACTCCAGGGACAAGGTCAATATGTAAGATAATTAGTTACTGTGTTTTGCTCTGCTCGAGACCGCTCTTTTCTTTCTCATTGGTATGTATTCCTTAGACTGATCAGACATCTTGGATAAATATAATCCAGGTATTTTGTTGTGGTTGGTTGGGTTTTTTTTTTTTAAATCACCCTTTATGTAGGTCTAAGCGTGATATTGGTGAGGGTGTATTTTGCTCCACAAGCAATCGTGCTGACTGCAGCGGCAATACCTTAGTAATACCATAGTTCTACCTTTTATTTTTTGGTAGTAAACTTACATTGTTGCATGTATTTCTGTTTGTAGTGCCCCGTCTCTTCCCCAGAAGAAGAAAAGCTTATTACCATCAAAAGGCCTAAAACTCCAGTTCCAAATGAGTTATCAGATATCAACACCCAAACCAACTGGACTAAGTCACTCCCACTGCCAACACCAGAAGAGAAAATGCGACAACAAGCACAGGCAGTCCAAACAGATGTGGTTCCTATTAATGTGACCGGTAGGCTTTTAATTTCAGTAATTACATTGCACTGATGAGGGAAGGAAGGGATTAAAGGGGTTCCATACATTTGTAGAGTATTTTGACACTCATATATTTGATGCATGAATTTTGAATTACTTATTGCACCTTTCTGTGAAAACAGTGTTTTGTGTTTAATAGTCCGTCTCCAAACCTAATGCGAAAACCTCAAAATCCCTTAAAATGATCATTAATGAAGGTAGTCTACACAACATCAGCTTGAAATGGCATTAGATATTCATGAAATACAAGAAGAGGGTTGATAAATAGCAGTGTTTTGCTGTGGACTGCACTGAAGATAGGTAATGGAAAATCATGTTTTATGCAATGCTAATGATATTTCAGGATTTTCTTCTAGGAATTTTATGTAAGGAAGGTTATCAGGGACTTCTATATTCCAAAGACTAAATGTTAGAAAATTAAAGGAAAAGAACTCTAGGGTCTTATTTTTATCAGCAACAAGAGGTTTAGGTGTCAAGGAGGGTATAAGGTAAGAACAGCAAAAGTTAATGGGGCTACATCTTCGAGCAAGACCTTTGGTAAGACACTCCACTTATGTGACAATAGTCCACATTTTCCTGTTATGAACTGTGTATTAACCCTTCATTTTGAAAATGCTCTTTGGCTTTACAGTTGCAGAACTCCCAGTCTGTGGAAGTTAAATTATGTTAAAGCCTAATGCTGAATAGATACTTTGTTGTGTGTAAATAGAATTTCTGTGAAAGATCGAATTATCACGTCAGTTTAATAATCCCTCTTTTTCTGCACAATATCAAGATTGCCTATTATTAGTTAATTCAAATAACTGACCGTTTGCCTGCCAAAACCAGGATGATAGTCAATATCCAATTTATTTCAAATGCCATATGGCGCGCTCTGGCTCCATGCTCCCTCTTACAATCAATAGCTCGCAATGTTTGGTTTTGTTTTGAAAGTAAATTAGGTGTTCCCTTTCCCAATGTGACTACTAATAATTTTTTCACGTATATTTTTATAAACTAGTATTTTAAATAATACTATTTAGTAGTATTTAAATGTTTAAATAGTATAGGAGCAGTACTTCCGTGACAAACATCAGAGAGCTCTGAGGAATCAACAAGAAACATTTCCTTAAATAAACAGCAGAAAATATTTGAAATAAATAGCATGACGGCAACAGAAAATTACAAACACTCCAGGTCTGGAAAATTAATAGAAGGGAAACAAATGCAGTGCTGAAATGTTACTAGGCCAGTTGGCATTATCTAGGGAATGTAGGATACAGGTGCAGAAGGCCGAGTTATGGGAACAACGGATAATCTGACAGAATCGATGAGCTTGAGCAGGGCTGAGATACTGCGACAGCAGGAACAGGGTATACTTACAGAAAGAGTAATCTGCTGTTCGATTTAATGACCCTGCGTACTGAAAATTTATGGGGGAAATAAACAGATGGAAAGAAAAAATGAGGTAAAAGAGATCAAATAACCCTCATAGATTAATTCAGTGTCACTGGGAACGTTACCGTGTTTGGATAAATTACATTGTGACTTCAACCAGCTTAATTCGACGGGTGTAGCAAACCGTGTCTCCCCTGAATTGTTTGGTTTGCACTCAGCAAACTCAGCGGTTCTCAACTTTTCTGATAAAAATAGTGCACGTGCATATTATACCTCACCTTTCTGAAGTGTGCTGTTGAGCATTTATTCCCTTATAAACATGGTAATCAGAAGGGACGGAAAGGGAGGGCAGTAAAGGAAGACTGCTGTTGCAGCGTGTGGACTGGTCTCTGGGATCCACCGTTTCCTTTCCCTTGGAATAATTATATTGCTACTGTGAAACAAGGCAAGTGACAGTAACAGGCTACGAGCCACACACAACACACAAAAAAAAGCGGCTGTCCTTGTTCCTCTTTAAAAGTCACAATCTGCTCCCCTCCTCTGCCCTCCCACACGCCGAGTAATTTTATTTTGTGAAGTTCCTTATGTTACTGCACGAGGCAGGAAAAAAACGACCAGAAATTCTGTGCCGTTTGTTCAACGTGCCGTGGAACAAACCATCGCCGTTTTTTGTTTTGATTTGGCTTTTTCCTTCGCTTGCTCTTTTCTCGCTCTCCCAGAAGAGAGGTCAAAAAACTTCCATTTTATTACTCCTGGCATGAAATAAAAGGTTAACCTCTGAAGAGGCTGCTGGCAATTGACAGCGTTTTCAGCAGTGCATTAGTAATGATTCTGCTACAATGGCCTCTCACGTGGCTGTGCAATAAATGCTCTGCAAGTTCAGCTTTCGGGGCTCTTCGGTGAACAGATTGCAACTAATACAGTAGTAGTAAAAATCTGTTGGATAGCCTGAAGGTGCAGGGGCACTGCATTAGGCTGACAAGCTGCTGACTAGACATCCAGATTTGGAAGCAGTTTCAGTCTTTGGGAGTGCCTGGGCTGAGCTTACTCTGGCCTGGAAGAGGTTGGGCTGAATTTTCAGTGGTAACCAGTCTTTGCTTTTACATATCCTGGGGGTTAAAAGATGTATAACGGTGTCTGCTCTCGTGGGTTTTCCGGAACTAACTTTCTTTCCAGATGGAGGAGTCTGGTGATGGTGGAGGTGATCCGCGCCAGGCTGGATCCTGCAAAACATTTAAGCCTTTGCTTGAGTCCAGCTTGGCTGACTTCAGTGAGATTTAAGCACATACTTAAATATTTTCGGTGAATCCAAGGAAACTGAGTAAACTGCGTGAGGGAAAACTGAGTAAACTGTATAAGGAATGCTTAGATGATTTTTTACAAACCTGTAACGGAAGGAGGAAAATACCCTTAAATCTGCAAAATATATTTAATGTTAACATCGATATTTTCTAAAGAAAAAAAGACAACGAAGAACGGAAAAAAGACAGACGTTCTGATTTTGCTTGTTGGAATTTATTGAAGCTGCTACTTTGAAATTCTACAAATTTGCACAGTGGCTTTGAAAAAGCCTTTGTGTATCAAAAGCCATTGAAGATGGATTGGTTGAGTTAGCTCCTGGGTAGCTCAGGGGAAGAAGTTACTGTGGATCAGCTGACACAGTAACATTTCCCCATGGTCATCCTGTTTGTGCTGTCTGAGGCTTTGTAAAAGACTCTCTCCTTGTTTGCACCCTCTACATACCATTTACATTTTATTCCAGGGCATTCAAAGCTGTATTTTAATTTCCTTGCAACTCACTGTCTCAGGCATAATTGTTGGCCTTCGAATGGATAAAGATATGTTCAGAGATGCAAAACTTTCTCCTTCAAATTCTTTGGATTTGTTATAATGTGGCTAGAATTATTATTATCCTGCATGGCAGGATTACCTAATGGTCCTGACCCTGACTCCGTAAGGGTCCTAATGTCCTAATAGTGGTAATGCCCCAGATCGTGGATAGCCTGTCTCAATATTTCAGGGCTTCTACTAAGCCAGTGGGATCCATAGCTCTAAATTTTATAGATCCTATGGGCTTCCTCCTCCCTTAATCTGCCCTGACTTAAATCAGTCCAAAACTTGGATGAAACTGGTACTTCTTTGTAGCTGCAAGAATTCCGCTTAGCGCAAGTGCAGCTCATGGGAGCACAAGGCTCCGGTCAAACAGAGTCAGAGTCTTTATGTTTACAATATGGTGAATGAAACTGCTACGTTTTTTCCTTGCATTTTCACAAGTCCACATGCTATACTTTAATATATGACTGCATCTTTAACTGTTATAGAGGTAATGAGGTTTTCTATGCTATTTGCACGACACACATCATGCTGATGTGCAGTCAGCCAGAGATAATATTTATGACGTACTAGTTACTGTGCATTAATCACTTTTTAGAGGTAAATAATTTGGTCATCAATTTTCAAAAAAAGCGTACAAGGCAAAAAACATATACACGTATATCAAGTTTTTTCTGCATTTAAGTTTTAAATGGATCATCTAAAGGACGTTTAACAGTGCTTTAAAATGCTTTAACTTCTAAAAAGGGAACTTACGTGTGAGATATGGGGGGGTAGTCATTAGATTTTTAGAAGTGACAGAGAATTAACTGAGCTCACAATCTATAGGGCAAGTTTTATCTTGCTATGAGTAAAATGGCCAAATTATAAACCTCTGAACAAAAGTGAATTCCTAAAGAAAAGCTGCTTAATGATAGTGGTGCTTCTGGGTCCTGTTATGATACAGCACATGGTCATCATAAGGCTTTGTCTGGCAACATGCGCTTACACACACACATTTTTTCAGCTCTCACCATTGTATATTTTTATAATCATTTATAAAGTTTTGATTTTAAGCAGCTTCCACTCTGACTGAAATATTTATGAGACCACAAGATCAGTTTGATCTCTGTATGCTCCGTAGTACTTACTTGTATTCATGTTAAAAGATCACCACCAGAAATGTGGTACACTTGACAGGTTCAGAGCAACTTGGAATGAAAAAGAAGCGTCTCGTGTGATTTAATGATGGAGCTGTGCAAAGACGTTGTAGTAGCTGTTGCCAATAGCAATGTCTGTTCCTGTATAATTTGTGATCTTTCATTTTGTGATCTTTCATTGTGATCTTTCATTTTCATGAGCAGATTTGCTTTTTCTGCAGCTCGTCACTTTAAAATAAAACAAAAAAAACACAAAAAAAACCCACAAAGGGCCAAATTAAAGCAAGGATTCTGTTCACTTGCGGAATTAGAGCTGCTCTCACCAGATCTGAACTGGGCTCAGGAAGTCAACAATTCCTTTTAAAACCTGCAGTACTGTGTAATGGATATGTGTGTCTAAAGCCTTACGGTGATAATATGCCGTATCTTCCTTCAGTGTAAACCTTCATTGTAGGACCAAGCTAACATCATTTATTAATGCCTTTTTTTCCATTTCTACAACAAAACTAGTGGAAGAAAGTGCATGATGTCAGCGTGCTTGGAAGTAATGTTGCTTTGCTTGTTCTACCATGTATTAGGGGAGAATTTCGACCGCCAAGCCAGCATTCGGCGGTCTCTAATTTACACAGACACGGTGGTAAGACGGCCGAAGAAAGTCAAAAGGAGAAAGACTATTACAGGAATCCCTGACAACATACAAAAGGAGCTAGGTATGGCTCATCAGAACTGTATTCCATCCACTGTTCATTGTCACTGCTTATCATTACTCGACTAATAACATTACCAGTGCTCATGAAACCGATACAGTCTGATAGCCTATTACAGTTCCAAATACGTGTGTGCCTCCTTGCCACCTTGTGCACTGGGAAATTAGGACCTTTTACCTGTTGACTTCCATCTGTTGAAGGGAAAAGTGTATTTGGAAAATGGTGTACTGGTACAATGGAAATCTGCAGGGATGTAAGGTTTCTGGTCTTTAATGCTTTCCTGGAGATTGGGTCTACTCACCCAGGATGTTCACTGAAGCAAAACTGAAGTGGGCAGGCATTTTGGCTTGCAAATAATTACTCAGTGGAGTAAAACAATTCATGGATGCCTTCCCGAATCTGCCGAGTTACATCAACAGTGAAAAACCTGTGTATTTTCCAGTTCAGTTTAGATCTAATTGGCGACCCCTTAAGTATCAGTGTTATTTGATTGGAAGTAATTTACATGGGCACATTAGCTATTGCATATATTCCAAAGGAAAATGCCTGCTCGGTCACATTTACACTACCTCAGGCTGTCCTCTTTCACAGTTAGTAGCATCCGTGATATTCATAGCTGATGAAGCAGTCGGAATTTTGGCAGACCTTTCAGACACTTTTTGCAGAACTCTCTGATTTAAATCTGGTCATTCTTATTTATTTTTAAAAAAGATGTTTCAGTTTTTCCCAAATGATAACTTCACAGATAAAATTATGCTCCCCCTCCCTTTTTTTTGCAGTAGAGGAAGAACGTCTATTAAAATAGTCCGGCAGAACATAATTTTACGTGCTTTACATGTGGAATCGTCTCATATATTGACGATTTCAGTAAGTTTTACTACGTTGCATTTTGCATCTCTTTTTTAATTATGTTTTCAATTCTTGGTTCTTTGTCTAGATTTTTCAGAAATAGAGGCAAAAATATGTAACTTGCCTGGATGGGTTTGAAATGAGCTAGAGGGCCAGGCGTAGAGAAAGCCAAGAAACGAGCAAGTACATGAAGAGCAGTTTGCGAGTGGAACTGTGCTCCTTCAGCATCTATAATGAAACAGTGCCCTGCCATGGGAATCCTCTGCCTCAAGAGAGACAATTAAATTGCCCTAATGCTGTTAGGACAGCTAAAGTTAGGCAGCTTTAAATTTTGTTACCTTTGGATCTCACATAATGATTTTATTTCTAACTGCTGTTCTGAGATTTGTTCAAAGCTGTCAGTTGTCTTTGTCCATCTCTTCTTGTGGGATGGATGCTGTTTTGTGCCTGCCGTAGGGAACTCCTCCTCATAGTGTGGGTTCCCTTCCTCCCTTTCACTGTCCAATAGTGGGCCTTGCCACCTGGCAGGAGACACTTTCCAGACCTGGAGTCCTCCTGGAGGCCAAAATTTGAATTTGTTATTTCCTGAGAGAGAGCGCATATTTATCAGCCTTGCAATCAACTGTAAGCAAGCTTGAGAGTTAAACAAAATAAAGTAGATTCGTTCTCACCAAATAAAGATCAAAGCTGGAAACAAAGCTACATAAAACTTAATATTAAATTATTCTTAACAAAAGATTCCCTTCTCCTGTTTTAGGTCTCCCTGAGGGTAATCCCTTAGACACCATGTTTACAGCTGGTTTGAGGAATAGCAGAGACAACCCTCATCTTCTCTCATCTGTTCAGGATGGATACTTTTTACATTCCCTTCTTCCATTTTAAACTAAATCGCTTTGCTCTTTGTCTAGAGATGAGATGAAATGACTTGTGCTCCTTAAAAATGCGTGTGCCACTTAAATGCAAAACTGATACAAGACATCGCTTAAATTGTTCATTTTCAGGGTTGTTACGGTGGTCTTGAGTGTGGTGCGGTATTCTGAAAATGACATACATACCAAGGCTATAGTTTTTGACAGAGATTATCTTTGACCCATGTAGGACCTACCTCGAGGGCAGGTAGCGGAGAAAAGCAGGGCAAAGCAAAACACTGTCCACACTACCGTTTGTCACTTGCTGGGGTTCCCGACGCTCTTCCAGGCACATGGATTTTGAAATGGGTGACAACTGTACTTGGGTGTATGTGTGGAGAATGCTTCCTGCTGGCAGCGTTTCCAAAACTTTGCAGTTACGTTTGTGACCACTTCAGACAGATGTTTAATGCTTGAAGGCATCAACTGTAGTTTACCTGGTGGAATAAACTGAGAATGCAGTTGGCATCTATCTTAAAAAGAAATCTTCAATTAATATCTTAAAAGAAGTTTGTGACTATTACCAATCTGTTTGCTAAGGGTGACAGGTTTTATGGTCTTGATTTCGGTCTTTCATCTCTGTGCTGAGCACATTTCACGTTGCACTGCTTGAAGGTTTTCCTTGGCTCCTATTTTAAGTTGCGGAAATATCAGGGCTGGCAGTGTATCACTGTAGGAGCTCTCTCTGGATGGTTCCCTGGCCCACAACCGGCAGGCACGTAGGGCTTCAGCCATCTGCCCTACGGTGGAAGTTGTCTGAGGAGCTTCATGTTGCTTCCGTGGTGGTTGTATGTCATCCAGACAGCAAAATGTATGCCAGGAAAACTCTCTGATGGCAGTATCCATCCTGTTAGCGTATTGCTTTCCATCACTAGAAACAAAGTGCACTTGAAAACAGAACAGTTATCAGTGTCTTCATCTTATAGATGGGGAAACCAGGCATGCTGCAGTGAAGTGACTTAGCCAGAGTCACCCACCAGGCCGCTGGCAAGACTGGGAATAAATTAAGTCTCCCCCATCATTGTTCAGTGCTCTTTCTGCCTCTTCTCCCCTGTCACTCCCCAAATATTTCTGTAGCCTATTTCTCTTACACTGTCCCAAAACAAACAACGAGTTGTTTTAAAACATTCCTCAGTTCATTTGATCGGAACAAGGATCCGGACTAAACTCCAAATCAAGCAATTGCATTGTGCCTATTGACATTCTCCCTGTGGTTTCAGCTGAATAAATCTCTTTGTTTCTCCCCTAAAGCATTGCTGTGAATGGCTATAATATTTACACAAAGATTAAAATCCCTTGGTACACCAAAGTTGCTGTGCGCAGGCTAAATAACCAACACATACAGCAGATTCTTGTTACCTCTTGTTTATCCTTCAGAAGGAAGCAGAAACTTGAGAGAACCTCAAAGCTTCAACCAAGCTTGAACTGTTTTCGTTTCTTGTGAGAGAGCCTGGAAGAGCTTCTGCCGGGCCAAGCTGCTGGGGTTCTCCCCTGGCTGCTTTGGCTCCTTTGGAACAAAAAAGACCAAACAGAAGAGAAAGCCTGCGCTGATTACTGGCCTGAGCTCAGCGGCCGTGGTACCCTTGTAGAATTTAGCCAAACGTGCTGAAAGGAATCATTAACTGCACCCATGAGGCATCTGCTGAAAGCATCTTTAAACATTCCTACTTTTGAGCGTTGTAATACTGCTGTGTTTTCACAGGTGTCTTCCAGTGATGAACCAGGCTCTTCTGCGTAGCCTGGAAACTTCCGCATAAAAAATGCTGCGTAAATAAAATGGCGAGGTGATAGATGGGATTCTGAAACAGAATGAGATGCCTATCAGTTTAGAGATGCCAGTTATTTTCTGAACAGTTATTTTTTAACAGCAGGACCCTCTCAGTACTATTTAGCAGAGCAACACCAAAGTAAGAGGAGAAGGCAAAGCATTCCTCCCTCTGCCAAACACAGCAATGAAAAATTAGTTTTGCATACCTCTGAATTACCTTCATTGTCTTACAGAACGTTAATATTATATATGTATTTAATGGAGTCAAATGTTGGATCAAAACTGCAGAAAGGGCAAGAAACTTTGAGATGACATTTTACTTCAAGTTTTTGTGCTCTCAGTTTCTCTGCTTTGTGTTGCCATTATCCATCACCTCTAGCTGTCTTCTTCAGATGGGACCTTATATGCAAACCGGTATTCTTCCCTCAGGCAAGAAGATGGTTCCCAAGCAGAAGTTTGGTAGAGATGAGCAGCTCTCTGAGAGAACCTGTCGCAGGCGTTGCTCATTTCTTGGCTCTTGGTTATCTTCAGCTTCCTTCACGCGTTCCAACTCGACAGATGAAATAAATGCAGCAAAATGCCTTCATGTTTCCATGGTCCCTTCTCTGTGTCAGTGCTCTAGGGTCTGGCTCAGACTAATTTTCTTTTTGTGAAGGTACGAGGTATCTGGTTGTGAGTGTTCCTCCAGAGCTCTGCACCGGCGCAGTCCCAGTCACCGATGGACAGCTTCTGGTGTCCCGGACCCCCTCCTTGCAGGAGGAGCAGGTCCCAGACCTGGGTATCGGTTCCACCACAGTTCATCTTCCAAGTAAACATACCTCATCAAAGCAGGGGAGAAGAAACCATCTTCAAGTTTTCCACCTTTTGATTTCTTCTTCTTCTGCCAGACATTTTGCTTTTCCTTAATCAAACAGAAAGTTTCTGTCCTCTTTTGGTTTTCAAAAACTGTCTTCTAAATTATGTTTTGTGTGTACTTTCCTTGAATTATTTCAATACTTTTTTTCCCACCTTAAGGTGCAATTCAGGGTCTTTACGGCTCTATGATTTTTTTTTTCCCCATCTACTTTTTTTTTTCTTCCTAACCAAAAGGTTCAGAGGGTCAGAATGACCTCATATGCTTTTCTTCAGCTTATTTTCCTGCCTCCCATTCTCAGTAGCTCACAATGAGTTGTCACCTATAGGACCCCCTGTCAGTCATCAGGATGGATATGACTGACACTTGAGCGGTCAGTCCCTCACTTGCTTTCTTGTGGCACAGCTCAGACCTCCTGTTGGTACCAGCCAGTGTCCCAGGTATCATTTGGGATTGTTAAAGCTTCTCCTTTGATATGCCTTAGAGCAAACAACTCCATCTCAGCAACGTGGGGGCACATAAGTCATTCTGATCTTTGGGAACTCAGCTGGTCTAATGAAGACTCCTCTTAATTGATATTCTTTTCCAATTAGTCCCTTCAGCACTAGGAGTCATTCAAGTTATTGGTCCCACAGGTAAGAAGAGTCCCAGATATCCAGTGGTCCTACAGAAATACCATGCAAATGCCCAGCTGTTCAAGCCAAGTAATTCTGCATCCTGCTTCAAGTTGCAACTTTAACAGTCTTTGGAGAGAATATCTCTCTCTCAGAGTTACTGTGCCTTTTAACTAATACTGGTTTTATAGCTGTAGTTTCTCAACGCTGTATGTTTCCAGCACTATTCATCCGGAGATCAGGGTGTTACAAAGTATGTATCATCTGCTTTTTGATAATGGGGGATGGAAGACAGAGATGCCAGGAATATAATCTTTACCAGAGGCTGTTCAGTTAGTGAAATGAACAGAATCAAGAAAACTTAAATTCCCCATATTTTCATCAAAAGTCTCCCTTTCAGGGTGGCAGTGATATATGCAAGGATTCAGGATATTTTTTAGCTGGCAGTACGAAAAGTATCGCAGGATTCTCTGCAATATATTTCTCCCCTCTGAGAGATTACAGATGCTTCACGCAGCACAGTGAAAATTCCTTAAAATTACCATAAGCCCTATGTACTTGTCTGTTTCTTGTTGAGTGTCTATTAAAAATCATTTGGTATGTAAGTACTAGGGTGAAATAGATGAAGAATCTCTCGGGGGTTTTGTAACGCTGGAAGTTGTGGTGCCTGCAGAGTGACTTGGCCAGGTCGCCAGGTTTGGAGGAGGATTGCTAGGTGGGGCATGAGGAGAAGATGAAAGCAACAAATCTTAGGAATGTGCCTGTGGCACAAGAGACAAGTACTTATAGTAGAAATGATTAGTCAGAAGTAGTTTGGGAAGAGAGATTACTTCTATATACTAGTTGAAACAAGCATGTTCTTTGCGATATCAATGCACATACTTTTTATGGTCTCAAATCCTCAGTTTTCTACACTCATTTCAATGCAGAGGACCTTTCTGCTGATTCTCTGCAGCAAGTTGCTGGTGCCAGCAGGTCAGCCAGAGTCACAGGGAGACAGTGTAGCTAGTACCCGGCCCTAGGGATTACCTGCAGACACTCTCTTTTTTCCATCAAATTTGCAGTCAGTCTCAGTCCCTGTCATCTCTAATGAGCAACACCAGTAACTACCAGAGTCGGGGAAAACTGGTGTAACCTGTACATGCCTACCTTGGATCAAGCGCTTGGAGCTAAGGTACGCATTTGAACCTCTTCTCTATGCTTCCATGCAAGAGATGTTAAATATGTTGCATGTTTTGCTTGTTCCAGATAGTGAGTGTTCTTTACTTGCTGCTGGAGTTGACACTGAACATGTGCATTAAGGAAGAGCATTTGCCCTAAAAGATACTTTCAGCACAGCAAGAAGTAGGGTAATAAAGAAGAAAGGAGTGTCTCCTGTGGTGGACGTAGCACTGGCTGCAGGGCTACTGGACACAGGATCATATAAAATGCAGACAAGATGATTATTAATTACGTTCAGCCACATTTGTTGTACCACCAATCACAGCCACTTCCGACTTCATAACGTTCCGCATCTGTAACCTGATGTCCAGTTCTGCAATATTTTGTCTGCTCAAACATCGCCCCTGCAACCCTGGACTTGTGGATGGTATTCTCTAAAAGGTTCCAGAATTTCGGTGTTGCAGAAACCTTGTAACTTCTGACTGCTATTTATTTAAGTAGAGGTTTTCTGAGACATAGCATTTTCAGTGTAATAGTCAATTAAAGGTTTGAGCTGTCCCTTAGAATTGGATTGTTCATCTTCTAGCTGCAGTACCAACAAAGGCGATTGGATTTTAAGGATTTTTGAAAACCCTTACTTTTCAGTGGTACTCTGGAAGCGAGTGGGGGTTTTACAGTGCATTTGTAAATTGCAAACAAAATACTCCTCGCTACCCTCCTCTGAATTCCACCAAAATCTTAAAACCCTCAACATTTTAAGAGAATACCTGAGTCTTAAATGTTCCTTTGGTTTTTTGAACCATTTTCCCTGCAGATTTCTGTTGTCCCTCTTCAGGAAATGGAACTGTAAAAAGAGCAGTTGCTGTATTATAAATCCTCACAGCTTTGCATGAGATTGTACATACATGTAAAGCCAAAAACAAAGCTGAAGTGATTTCAGAATATGCTGCATTTCTACAAAAAATATTTAAAACCTCAAAAGTTGTGTTCTTGTAATAGCAACAGTCGTGAAAAGACCCTTCCCTGACCATATCCCATATAATGATTGAAGGATGTAGCCCTGTAGTTTATACTTCGGAGACTGGCTGTCTTGCCCCCTCTGAACCCTGTATTTATTTGGGCTCTGAACCATTCTAACTACAAGAGGCCTCGCACTGGTGCAAAGACCTGCCCTGACAGGCTTCCCTGCAGTATCGAGGTTGTAAAGGTTTACTGCTGTTGAGTCAATTTATGCAGTTTCCATGAGCATATTAGACTGGGCCCTAAGTTACATCTATTCTAGTAACAAACACAGGGTTAGCAGTGATGCTCAACAGCGTCCTGCCGTTGTTCATGCTGCCCTCTTGTTAGCATGCTCCTCCGGCATTGCTCTGGCCTGGGCCAGCCAGCGGTTTCCCAGGCTCTGTCTGGGCATGGGTGCCAGGGGATGGGGCAGGAGCTGCTCCCCCAGGCATTTTGGTACTTGCCGGAAAAGAGCTTAGCTTGGATTGATGTAAGAAAGGTCCTTGACCTCTTTCATTTAGTAGCTTAGATACAGCACCAAGGTTTAATTTTGTATTTCAGACATTTTAAAGCATCGCTGTGCATTTGCAATAAACAGTATGTCCCAATAATGCATTCTGACACTCCTGGTTTTGGAAGGAGGAAAGGGGAGGTTAGCAAGCCCAGCGTTGTCCTGCTTTGCCATCTGCCTTCCCTAGCAGTAATGTTTTAAACAAGCATAAACTGTCCGTGTGTGTTACGCTGCTTGTGAAGTGGAGTGCATTTAGCTTCCTTTGTGAATACAAATGTACTGCATACTGAAATGAGGTGCTCTCAGCCACAGGTCAGTATGTGACGGTATTAGATACTTGCTGTAGTGCTGACAGCTTCATTCTCCACAAGCCCCATCCTTTGTCTCGTGTGTGTGTGTGTGTGTGTGTGTGTGTGTGTGTGTGTGTGTGTGTGTGTGTGTGTGTGTGTGTGTGTGTGTGTGTGTGTGTGTGTGTGTGTGTGTGTGTGTGTGTGTCTATACATTCATACATTCCATAGCGGTAGAAAGAAGAAAAATACCCCATCTCTCTGGTTATTTATATAACTTAGTCTGCAGATTTTTATTATCAGCTATTTTTAATTGGCTAACAGTTGTTATCAGTGATGTCACAGTTCCAGAAACATTCGTGATGTCTACTTTGATGTTTTTCTCTCTCTTAACCCGATTCTATGGAAAACACACACATGGAAAGCAAAATTAAGTTATTTTTCTTACTGTACAGTTCTTAATAACTGTATACAGAATATGCAAATACCTCTCTTGGTTGGCTGCAGTAGTCCATCTGTTCTGACAGTACCTCATATTAGATTATCCAAGATGTTTGCCAGCATCCAAGTATCTAGCTTTGCTGCAAACCTCTACCAGAAGCAGAAAGAGGCTACGTTTTCATGAGAGCAAGAGAATCTACACAAAGCAAACTAAATAGGCTTCAAGCTGCTGAAAGACTACTTATGTGCCTGGGGAAAAGAAGTAAACAATCTTTTTGTGTGTGCTGCTTTCACTGTAGCCTTTTCAGAGCCCTCTTTTCCTTATCCTAAATGCCTCTCTTGCCTGCCAAGAATAAGGATAATTAAATGTCCTTTAAGTGGTGTTTAAAGCTGCATGATAAGAATACCTATCCTCCTGATCCAGTTCCATATAGTAAATATGAAAGGAGAACAGTCCTATCAGGCGTGCTACTTCATCGCTCCTGAGACTAGCTTTAAGGCGGAGACTTGAAATAACCAATTTTCCCCCACAGTGACATATGCAGCATCCTTACAAGCATCTCCAGCAGCACGCCTGCCTCTCATGTCTGCTATTTATACAGTAATGCAACTGAATTGAAAAGCAACAGCCTTACACAGACTAATTTTAAAGCAGTGCTCTGGTTTGTGATTTTAGAAGGCAGCTACCAATAAAAATGTAAATTTAAAAGAACCCTAGAGTCCTTTCTACTGACCCAGTGATAACTATATTTTGAACTAAAACTGTTTTTCCATTGTCCTCAAAGTTTTTTTTTTATGCCAATATATGATTATTACTTCATTTTAAAAAGTACAGTTATTTTTTATTTCCTGACGGTGCTGAGGATGAGACGACCATCAGTACTAGCTGTTTCTTTTCCTCGCTTCTTGGAGTTTTTCCTTTATGATAAATAGAAAGTAGTTGTATGGACAAATGTTATTTAATGGTTTTCTTTGCAGTGTTGGATAATGTCTTTGTATAAATGCTGTTACAGCATTTGTATTATTTGTGGTAAAACAATGCATGTTTCACTGTGTTAGCCTCCTTTCAGACGAACTGCAAGACTTGGAGAGCTATCCGTGTCTCCTGAAAATTTTTTTCTGAAGTGTAATGCTTTTAAAAAGCAGATCTGATTATTCACATTAGTCTCCACATTTCCTTCCCCTTTTCTTTATTGCATGAGGCATTAGCATGGAAACACACTTCACGTTTCTCAGGCTTTTGTCTGTTCCTGCTGCTTTGCCTACTGGAAGTCAAACAGTGCTACTTGGTTTCTGACATAACTGATTACTATGGAAATTATTACCATGTCATAAACAGAGGATTTCATGTGTCGAATGTGCGGCAGGAACGCAGACGATTCTGTAAGCAGAAGGTCCCTGGTAATAAGGAAAAAGGGAAGAGAAATGCAGAAAACACATGATGCCTGTGCAAAATCCATTGTTGCAGATTCTTTTTCAGAAGGCATAACCTTCAAGAGCGTGGGGATCAAGCCATTTGCTGGGTTGTTTTTAAATGATTAAGAAGATAAATGTGCATTTGTGCTTCAAGGAATAATTATTTTATTTTGACTCCAGCAGTTGGCACTGGCCAAAGTGATTTCCGAGGGCATTCGATGTATGTCCCAGATCACTGTTCCACGCTAGGGAGACTAGACAGCTATCGCTCCGCTATGCAGCGCTCTGAAACCAAGGACACCAGCTGCCAGACAGAGGAGGTTAAAGTTGTGCCCCCTTCAATGAGAAGAATACGAGCGCAGAAAGGACAAGGCATCGCAGCCCAGATGTCTCAGTTCTCCAGCTCATCTGGAAACATGTCAGTGATGAGTGATTCCGCTGCAGTTATATTTGCTTCTCGCCAAAATAGCGACATAGGTTTTCACAGCTTGCCTCGGGCTGGTGCGAGAGTGTCTCTGCAGTCCCTAGAGCAGACACAGAGCATCTCTAGGCAGACAGAAGACATCGCTGGCACTTTACCCCACCAGATAAGTAAATTGCAAGTGGACGATAGTGTTGTGCATCTGAGGAATAATCCCACGACGGGGACCCTGTCGAGGCCAAAGTCTCAAGAGGTGAGAAGCTATGATAGCGAAAAGTCCGCAAGCCCAGCATGTGTGGTCTCTCCTCATGCCACCTACTCAACGAGCATCATACCCAACGCAACACTGTCGTCCTCCTCAGAAGTTATCGTTATTCACACTGCCCAGAGTGTTGGATCATTGGATAGTAAAATTACCAGCTCTGCTGCCTACCCAAAGCCAAGAGACAGTCCTGTTGCCAGCAGTGCAGTAAGTGGGAAAGAAGATCACCATTCTTCAAGCGGTAACTGGAGCGAGAGCAGCTCCACACGTCACTCACAGACTTCAGACACCATCCCATCTAATACTGTCATGATGCTTTCTCTTGGTGACTCTGCTGTCTCTCTTAGCACTCCTGGAAACGCAGAGGCTGGGTCTCAGAGCGTGAGCTACAGCTGTAGGAACAATCTTGCTTTACCAAACCCTTCGCAGGACAGCAATGGTAGGAGTGAATCTAGCTATTCAGGGGAGCGAGCACAAGCAGCAGTGAACAGCACAGAGCATTGGCTGTACAAGTCTGCAGAAAACAATGAGACTCCTTCGCGAAAGGTGGTTTGCACCACACCAGGCTGTGCCACTCCTGGTAGCAACGTGAGCAGCAGCAGCCTGGAGAGGACTTCGGTCAGGGACGATTCTACTTCTCTGTATTCTGTGGACCACGATGGTTATTACAGTTCCATGCACATGGACTCTGGACTGAAGTCAGACATGCCATGCAATAGTACTAATGGTTTTGGGAACCCCAGAGACAGCGTGATAAATGTCTTTGAAGGAAAGGAGAAGAAACATCAGGATAACCAGACGGGCCAAGGTGACAAATCCCTTGCAAGAAACATCTCTCTGAAAAAGGCAAAGAAGCCGCCTTTGCCACCATCCAGAACAGACTCACTCAGAAGGGTGCCCAAGAAAAAAGCCCAGTCCAATGGACAGGTACTTGATGAAACGCTCATTGCCACCCTCCAGCATTCTCTGCAGTTGAATCTCAAGTGCAAAAATGGCAGCTCCCCTTCCCAGAGCCCCTGCAGTGATTATGAGGATCCCTGGGTGTTGCGTTCCCGCAGCCAGAGCTCGGTCAGTGCAAGCAGCAGCATGATGTCCACCACTGCTCCAAACCTGTACTCCATCTGCACAGTCACTCCCTCTCAGAGTGAAACAAGTAGCATCAAGTCAGAGTACGCTGACCAGTGGGGTTACTACAGCGACTATGCCGCAGTGGCAGACGACCAGGTAAAATCCTCAGTGACCCATTCTGCCAGTACATCATCTGCTCTCAGCGATTACAGCATCAGCCACTTCAGTGATGGCTCAAGGGCTTCTGTGCCGCAAGTGCCCAGTGGACTGGCCAAACCAAAGAGCACTTCTCCGGAGAAATCCCACCGAGTCACATCGCCATCAAGTGGGTACTCCAGCCAGTCCAATACACCCACTGCACTTACTCCAGTGCCTGTATTTTTAAAATCTGCATCATCAGGAAATGGGAAATCCAAGCTGAAGCCTAAAGTGCCTGAAAGGAAGTCCTCTCTTCTGTCTTCAGTCTCCATGTCTTCATCCTCCACTTCTCTTTCTTCAAACACATCTACTGAAGGGAGTGTGAGTGTGAAGAAATTGGATCCCACCCTGAGCTCTCCTCCGGATTCTGGTGCACCTCCTCCACCACCACCTCTTCCAACACCTCCTCCACATTGCCCCGAACATTCTCCCCCTCCTCCCCCTCCTCCTCCTCCTCCAGCAGAAGTCATGGATCTGTCACCATTGCCAGCCTCTCCCACATTTCCCCCTCCTCCGCCAGAAGCTGATGTAAATTCTTCCTTTGCTCAGACTGTCCCATGGTTTCCACAAGAAGCCTCCATCAGTTCGTTCTCTTCCCCTGTTCCTCCTCCTTCTACTTTCCCCATCACTGTCCCACCACCAGCACCACCTCTTGATCCCAGACTAACAAAAGATGCAACAATATACCCACAGTATTCTTTTAAGAAACGTAACCAGGAAGATTTTTGCTACAGTCCAGTGAAACAGCCACTGAACAAGCAAGATGCATCAAGACCTGTGATGCCCTTAGTAACTACCAAAGCGTTGCAAATGGTGCAGCTGAGGTCTGTGAAAAAAGTGACAGAAGGTGAACCATCACCTGAATCTGCTTCTGAAACCACCTCTCAGGAAAAGGGTACTGTAAATTCATCATCGCAGTCTTCCCTAAAGCCATCTCTCTCACTAAGACTCAGTAGCAGCTTAGGCGAAGAGGAAATGAAAACTGAAGGCACTTCATTTAAAAACTCAGTTCAAACACTGGCTCGGGGTTCTCCTCTCGTTCTTTCTGATAACATACCTGTGCTTGACAGTGATCAAAAGCCTGCGAGTGCAGTAGGTCTAAACAAGTCTTCCGAAGCTGATGCACTGGGGACAGCTACTGAAGACACACCTGGGTCTTCAGTGCAGAGTGAAGACCTCCATTCTGGCGTGTCACTTCAGGGGTCCCCAGCATCTCCCGACAAGACTCAGGTCGTATTGTCAAGCAAGAAACCACCTCCTATTTCAAAGAAACCCAAACTGTTCCTCGTTGTACCACCTCCACAGTTAGATCTTACAGTGGAGAAAATAGCTGAAGTGAGTGATACTGTCAGAAGCACATCAAGCCCAACGAAGAGAGACGCTGTGCTTGCACACTGTGAGGAGGCGAGAAATTGTCTTACAGATGGACTCAGTTCTAGCGAGATGGACCCTGGCAGCCTGGTTCCTGAGGGAGGAGCTGCCGGATTCACCTTCTCTGAGACAGTGGGAGCTAATGCCTTTGTGGTACAGCCTGCTGCATCACCAGTTCAAGAAGAACCCAGGCAGGAGGAGCAGTCCGCTTTTGATGAAGGAAGCAGTTCAGGCAGCAGCCAAGACAGCGGCAGTAACGCTGACGGGCACCTATCTCAAGAGAACGAAAGTGGTGAGTCTCTCTTCTCTGACTCTTCTTCAGATGCAGCAGTAGCTATTTTAAAGAAGCTGGGGAGTGAGAATAGCAATCCTAGCATTCAGGTGGGCTTCTGTAGAGAAAAGAGCCTCTTGAGATAGTTAAAACTAAAAGCCTGAAGAAAGTTGCAGGGATCAGATTAATACTTTATGAGATTTCTTATAATTCCTTTCTGACTTCTCATTATCGCAGCCGTGGAAAGAAAATGATGCTTTATTTAACTGTGCTAGGATTAAAACATGCTATGAAAACATGGGTAGCTTTGTTAGTTTTGATTTTGCATTTTAGTGGAAACCATACACATTTTCTTTCAGTATTGTTCTGCGCCTGTGTGTGTGAGCAAACATAGGCATTTTGTGCACTGCAGTTTCCTAAGCAAGCGTTCTTCTGAAATCACAATAATGACACCGGTGCACTCAGTCTCTGCTTTGCCTTAGAGGCAGCGAGGGCTGGTTTCAGGATTATATGCCTGTTGGGTTCCCACGACGGACTGACAGTATTGTTCATTCTCTCTGCATAGTGGAGGTGTTTGAATCAGATACAGCAAATAGTTCATTCCTGCCGAGCAATAGTTATGGGGAAGAGACGGACGGAGTGGCAACACCAGCGAGACCAAGGACTACTGAGGATCTTTTTGCAGCCATTCACAGGTACTGCAGAAATTGCCCTTCCCATACGGTCAGGTCCGGTAGTTTTCTCAAAAATTAATATTGTTTTGCTAAAACACACGCTTAAAACAGTCATTGCTTTAACAGAAAGCACACATTTATCAACTTTCTACTAAGGCTATATATGAAAAAGATAAGGAAAAGAACTTGGGTTTTATTGTTTTACAAATACATTTAATCCATTCTGAACTAAAAGCTACCAGATTAAATCAATGTAGATTATGTTATAAATATCCTGCCCCTTAAAATATCAAGTTACATCTAGTGTTTATTGTACTGTTCTCAATCTGCCATATTAACTCTACTGTTGCTTTTTCTGAGTATCTTTTTGTTTTCATTCTTGTTCTTCTCCATCTCTTTTTACTCTCTTTGCTGCTTATATGGTGCAGTTTGGGACAGAGGCTCAACGCTAATGCTTCATGGCAAGCGTGGCTGAAACTGGCAAGTAACACAACATGTCAGTCATATGGCAAAACATATGGCAAACGCTGGATTATAGTTTGCCATAATCCAGCCTGAGGTCGGGTGTTTTGTGTCAAACCGGTTCATGAATGAAATGTGCAATACTGGCTCTATTATTGATGACATTATTCATTTCCCTTAAAAACAAAATCATCCTGAATAGGCAACTAGATTTTTGTGCTGTTCACATTAGGTTCTTAAAAAAGAAAAGAAAAGCTAAAAAGCTTAAAACCACAAAATGAAACGTGTGCACCATTTAAACAGTACACACAGAAGACCATTACCACTCTCTGAACTACTGAGCATCCTTTTAGACTAGAATCGATGTAGTGGTAGTGCCATCTTGTGGCTGTGTCTTTTACTTCAAAATTTAGAGGGGCCATCTCTTAACTGGTGACAGAAAGTGCTTGGCAGCATCCGTATAGGTTTATCTAGGTGTTTGCGCATCTGTGCGTGAGTTCTGCATCAGGAGTACTGAGGGACGGGAAAAAGCTGTTGTGAGAACGTGGCTGGGAGACTGCAGCATTTGGGATGCAAATGCTATTTTTTCATTTTTGAAACGATTCTGTTTCAGATGTTACAAAAATTACATATATGTGATACTGACTTTTTACGGTTACCCCTTAGAACTTGGCCTGTAGGAGCTGTTCTAAAAATGGTCTGTTGCATTCATGTTGCATGGCGCTCACTAGGACTGCGACAAATCTGTTTTTAGAATGAAATATTCTGGCCAGTAGCCTTTCTCCCTTATGTATGCAGATAGAGAGTGGATCTCTGTGTGTATGCACATACATGTAATTCATGAGTTTATGGGGAAATGGACAATGGAACTGGATGTGACATAGTTAAAACTGCTTGACACATTTGTTATTAAGACCTTGCTTTTGCTGGCTTTAGACTTGAACCATTATCTTCCTTAGCTGTTAATCAATAAAAACCATTTTGTGTCCCCCCCCCCATTTCTAAAAGGTATTATTTCAGTGATTGGCACTCTTGAATACATGCTTTGGAGTAAGACAAGAAATTTAGCGGTATGTGCATTAAGGGCAGGAAGAACAATCTTAAGTCACAGTTTTGTTTGAATATATACCCTATCTCTGTCTGAAAAGCCACCAAAACCAAATTTGGTTCTTAATTTTAAGTTTCTGTCATAATTCATACATGCTGAGAAAAGCTGATTAGATGCTGACAGCAAGCTGACGGCTTTGCACTGCATTCACAGTCTTACTGAACTACTTCAAGCCAGGATAACTAAGTCTTTCCCTGCAGATCTTTGCAACTGAACTTTGTTTTCTGTTTATTTGGAATTTCATTTGGGTTTTGGCAGCAATACAACCCCAGCATTGCAGCGTTTAAAGATACCCATAGGCAGCCAAAACCCTAATGAAGGGAAATCTTTTCCCTGTAGCTAATGCACACACATATTCGCATACAGACTCACAGAGCATCCAAGCACCAAATTCACTTGCTGCCTACGGTACTGACGCACAGTTAAAACTAGACAAGGTTCTTATGTTTGCCACTACTGAAGTCGTCATTTTATCCCTACGCTGTCTTTTGGTGTCCATTCATCCTCAGGCTGAATGGATGTTGGTATTACATTCTTCTTCCAGAAAGGCAGGTGGAGGCAGCAACAGCTGTTACAGCTGCCTGTGGCGGGTATCATAAGTGATCTATGCATAAACTTGACCACTTCAGAGAGACAGGATCGCTCCAAAGTCTTGGCAGAGTTTATGGCAATGTCTGTTGCTGCCGCCTACTCAACTGATGGATCCTGCTACTTTGTTTTCTGTTTTTTTTATTATCAGTAGGCTGCAATGCATAAAGACATTTGAGCTTGCCTTGGCAAAATCTCAAGGCCCTTAAGAAAGTACAGATAAAGATCACGTTAAGTAGAGACCTGTTTTACAAGGGGAACGGTCTGTATTGAATACATGCTTGATAAAAATTAATATGGAATTATAGCATGATAATCTTGTATTTGTAACAAGTCTGCTGACTTGTTTTAAACTTTTGCCAAAATAGCATATGTAAAATTAGCCTTTATACCTTTTTGAATTAATTCTTGCTTAGTCTGCAAAGAAGCAAAGCAGCTTTGCTACAGATACCAGGCATGTAATACATTTCTTTCTTTAAGATTTCTAGTAATGTGAAAATGGGGCAGTAGAAGTCCAGTTTCCACTTATTCCCAGTTCCATGATTGTTTCTTGATTTTGTTTTTGTTATCCCTGCACTTTACGTTTAAATTAAAAAACACTCCACCCTTTCATTTGGAAAGATAACTTTCATGTCAGGAAGTTGGTCTCTCCTTCATTTAGTCGAAGAACTGCATTAATGCCTATACAGTTTTGGTGGTGTTCTTACTCATGCTTTAGATTTAGATTACGTCCCCCTTATCCCTCTCTCTGCTTTAGCTTAATTCGTTGTCATCCCTCTAAGCTTAGTTTAATTAGGGAAGGTAAAAAGTTTCATTTTTTGTTTGGTCCTCTTTTTCTGTTGTTTTTCCAACTCAGATCCAAAAGGAAAGTCCTTGGCCGTAAAGATTCTGAAGACGACCGTACCCGCAACCATTCTCCATCGCCCCCCGTAACTCCCACTGGTGCTTCCCCAACCTTAGCTACCCTCAAACAAGCCGGATCTATTCAGAGAAGTGTTCGCAAGAGCAGCACCAGCAACGACAACTTCAAAGCCCTGCTGCTGAAGAAAGGGAGCCGCAGTGACACCAGTTCCCGCATGTCCGCGGCAGAGATGTTGAAGAACACGGACCCGCGGTTCCACCGGACAAAGACGGATGCCTCCCCTGACCTTTCCGACAACCCTGCCAGCTGCTCGCCCAGCAAGAGCAAACGGGCCCAGGAAGAGTGGGCCAAGAGCGAGGGCCTGATGCCAAGGAGCATGTCCTTCTCTGGCACTAGGTATGGCCGGTCACGAACACCCCCCTCTGCTGCCAGCAGCAAGTACAATGTCCGCAACCGCATCCAGAGCAGCCCCATGACCGTCATTAGTGAAGGAGATGGGGAAGTGGTAGAACAGTCAGAGGGCAGGGTCCGAAGGACTTTGGAAGAGCAGCAAGAGAGGCAGCTTGATATGTTTAACAGTGATGAAATGGACATGAATGACTTTCCATATGCTGAGGAGGCAGGCTGCAAGGAGACCTTGGATCCAACCCATCTAGACTTAATGACTCAACCAGGTACTTCAAGGAAGTATCTAAGTCCCTCAGCTGAAGAAAGTTAAAAGGCAGTGGCAAAAGGCATTGGATATTAGTCTAGAAAATGACAGAGGACTAGATTCCAGAAGAAAGCCCAGACCAGGACAAGTTTACTTTGCTGAGCATTTATTCCATGAACTGCATGTGTGTGTTTAAATGCTTAAGCACCGATAGTTCTGCATGGTTGGGTTGGGGTGGGGAGGACTTGCTTTGAATGAATGGTCTGTGGCTTAAAGAAAGTTAACAGTTGAATTTTTTTGTGTAAAGCCTTAGAAGTCCTT